ATAACACATATTGCATAAGGTTTGGGAGGGTCATTATGCATTTTTTTGGTTCGAATTTCGATCAGACCAGGCTTCCAGCGAGCCATTTTGGCGAATTGAACGCGATCACGGGTCAGGACTGCTCGGGAAGACTCGGCATCGCTCTCCCGGACGTGATGTTTGCAATCACCAGACAAACCAAACATCAAACGAAAATTTTCCTCATGTCTCCCGAGCCCAAAACTCGCAAACCTCGGGGCCTTCCCACTGTGCCGTATACACGGGGTGTCTGGAAGCCATAAACCTCCCAAAGATGCTCCCCAAACCTCCGCTAAACCACCCAAGGATACGCGCCGACAACGTCTCACGCTGTATGACTGGATGACAGTCTTTGCCTTCGTTGACAATCACTCAGATATGACTCAGCAAGAAGTTGCGGCACATTTCAGGAGCTTGACAGCCGGGGATCAACATGTTTACACAGTGTTCAAATGGTGTTCAAGCAGTAAGCACGGATCAACATGTTTACACAGTGTTCAAATGGTGTTCAAGCAGAGTTCAAACAGAGTTCAAACAGCGCCCAAAAAGCTGAATTCTAAGAGAGGCCCCCGCGGGGTTCCAACCAGCGGCTGCTGAAAAGTCGTTCGAAAGCAGGAGTCGTAACCACTGAGCCAACAAGAACTGATGGTGCAGCTTAAATCATCCTGGAAATGGCCTTTCCTTGGGCCCACTTATTGTCAGGATTTTACAAGTCCAAACTTGTCTTGGATAGAGATAGGACAGCATGTCTTATACATGACACTGCTTGTCCCAGGGATTCATCTCATATCAAGATGTCCTGGGCCACTTTGAGCCTCTATTTAGCTATCAAGCTGAACAAGGACGGTACCACAGAAAATTTTGATGGGTGCCATTATCCACTTCAGTGTGATTTATCTGTGCTCTTAAGATCCTGGACTACTCAAGAAGATAGCAGGGCAGCTATTATGCTCTCACAATGTACTGTGTGGCCGGTGGATGCGGATATATACAGTATATCTGCATCCCTAACCAGTTCTGAGAGACCCAGCAACCTGGATATAGAGATGTGATTCTGAACCGCTGATATTGGTTGTGTGGCCCTTATCATTCGATGCAATCGGATTCCTCGCTAAACTCTACGAGGACATTGAACAATTTGGTAAGGTGGAGAGCGTGGGAACACAGCACCCTTACATAAGCCATTCTGTCACGCTCTTATAACTATATCAGGAACTTTCAAAAAAAAATTATGGCTGCTAGGAAATGTGCTAATTGACCATGTTATCACTTCCTAGGAAGCAGAATCTTCAAAAAGACATCCATTCCAGAGTTATAAGCACTTTTCCTTTTTAGGAAACTGTGTTCCTATGGCCTTTTCCGCGCATTTGGCGCGGTTTCGGAAAACGAACCCTGAACATTTGGAATGATTATGTAATCAATCACATGATCGTGGGAGCCATCTTGCCCGCAGGATTCGAGACTGGCTACACACATACCTTTCTACTGGCCAACTTCCCTTGCATAAAATTGGTCGTTATGCATCTTTGCTTCTTGATGATGAAGACTTTTCCTTGGCTATTAAATTGCATCTACAGGCTGTGGCTGAAAAAGATGGTCACTTTCGAGCGAACACAATTGTTGATTATGTGGCTTCTACAGAAATGCAAGCAACATTGGAAGAGAAAGGTGTTCCTCTCCAAGAGCACATAATTTCTGTCTGGACTGCACGTCGCTGGTTGAAAATGTTGGATTTGGAGTGGCTGTGCGCAGCTGTGCGAGCTGTTGCAAGCTCGGTCACTACCTACCGTGGTATGGGCAACCTCACCGTTGCCGTTTAAGGTTTCCTGGTAACGGTTGCACCAGAGAAATAGTATAAAAGTAGTGTACTTACAAGCATGTACACTACCGGATTACAACGAAGTTCCCCATCGTTGGCCTCTGCATCTCCTTGTGATGTTCTCCTCTGGGGCTTATTTCAACATAATCCGGTGCTACCCTGGTCTGGTGGGGCAGCATTCAATACACCAGCAGCAGCCCGATTGAAGGGCTTGACCGCCGAACATCACCATCGTCAATTCCGAAGTCGCTTGTCAGAGCGCATTGGTCGAAGCCGCCCATCATGGGTGCACAGCGGAAAAGTCCTCGCGGAATCGGGGCACGCGTAAAGTCGTCCAGGTCGGGCGCATTATCGCTACATGAACCTGTCACGGTTGGCAGGCGTAGTTGATCGAAGAACTGCCGTTGGGGGCCGAATCCCATCATCGTGTAAGCCATCGTCGAGACGCATCTCTGTTGCAACATTTGCCCAAGGTTCACGCACCCCATCGGGATTTGAATGCATGTCGGTGGATTTAGTTTCGGAGGTTTGAGGGAGTGCAGGAACAGGGAGTGCCTAAGAGGGTGTTGAGCGCGCGAGCTCTCCACAGCTCGAGGGAGTGTGTTGGATTTGGAGTGGCTGTGCACAGCTGTGCGAGCTGTTGCGAGCTCGGTCACTACCTACCGTGGTATGGGCAACCTCACTGTTGCCGTTTAAGGTTTCCAGGTAACGGTTGCACCAGAGAAATAGTATAAAAGTAGTGTACTTACAAGCATGTACACTACCGGATTACAACGAAGTTCCCCATCGTTGGCCTCTGCATCTCCTTGTGATGTTCTCCTCTGGGGCTTATTTCAACATGTGTGAGATTCGGACAAGCGGCGAGGCCAGAAAGTTGGATTGGGCTTGCTCTGCTGCAATCCCGACGACGTAGCTAGAACAAAGTAGGCTACTTAAATACTAAAATAGTATCTACAGCAACCTAGAAAGGCAATGCGTAGGCTAAGATACCCGAAGTTGGCATAGCGTAACTCTAAGGCGCCTTAACTGCTTTTAAATGTCGAATATAACTCTTAATTTCATTGATAAAGTCAGGGAGAAGCATAAAGTCAAATTGAGGAGTGGCGCGTCAATGCCACAGACATTCTGGATCCGACAGCGTTGAGTGTGGATTGATATACAGTTGGATAGCTCATAATGCATAAGGCCGGTGGACACCAAAACCCTATGCATTATGAGCAATATGCAATCCGAGACTTGTCACACAGAGTGACATTCGGGTGATACGGTGTCACAGCCCGGAACATTTCGGAGAAAACGATTGTTTTTACCATTTATGTAATCCAATTACATTCAAATCCACCTTCTTAAAAATTTCCCATTCCATTTTTTGGGGCGATGGAAAGGAGATGTCTGGTGAATCATGAGACAGCAGCGCTCACACCAAAGAGCCTGTCCTGTGCAATGGTCACAGCGATACAGAGCATCCGAAGCCCCACATCGATCACACCTGCAGGATTAATTCCACAAGCCACGAAACGGTTCGTTCGAAAGGCCACTCATTTCTTCATACCCAAAGACACCACTCACCTCTACCGCCGAAATGGCAAATATCCACCACTGTTGGTTATCACAGACTCCGCAACCCGACTAACCTTGCTACAACAAGCACACGAGGCCCTCGGACATAGGGGTGTACAGGCCGTATTTGAAACGCTCCGCCGCCGGTTCTTCTGGCCTCACCTTCGTGGAGACATTTAACATCATGTACGTTCCTGCCTTCAATGTCAGTTACGCAATCCAAAACGAATCGAGGTCCCGTTAACAGTATCCCTTCCAGTAACTTTATTCAACAAAGTCTATCTCGACATAATGTTTATGCCTCGGGCGCACAGCTACCGGTACATTGTCGCCGCACGTGATGACTTGTCTGGAGTCTGCGAGGTAAAAGCCTTGAAAGAAGCGACTGCCAAGAAACTTGCAAAATTTATATGAACTCAGATTTACTGCCGTTATGGAGCCCCACTACAAGTTGTTACAGACAATGGAGGAGAATTTCAAGGCGCCTTCAAAGACCTGGTCCATCGTATGGGAATACCTATGGTCAGCATATCACCGTACAACCATCATGCTAACGGAGTGGTTGAACAAGGCCATCATACACTTCGCGAGTCATTAATCAAGTTCTGCGGCAACGTTGAACAAGATCTCAGATTGGCCCCGAAAATTAGCCATCACAGGCTTCTCGGATCGAGTCACGGTCAGCCGAGTTACTGGATTCTCACCTTACCAGTTGCTCCATGCTACGGATCCCGTATTGCCCTTTGATTTGACTGAAGCCACATTTCTCGTCGATGGGTACCGCTCGGGTATGACTTCCCGTGATTTACTAGCATTACGCATGCGTCAACTAGAAAAGCTACCGCGATCACATGCTTTAAACCTCACCCGACACAGGTGGAAAAACACACGCAAGTGTATTCTGCGTCGGGGAATCGAACCCCGGGCTGCCGCGATCATTACGTAATAGAATTACGTAAGAAATGGAGGATCGAACGCTGGACTGTTATGGGCATCGGCGCGAAAAAGGTTAAAAAGTTCCGATACGGGGATCGAACCCCGGGCTACTGCTTGAAACCACACGCAAAATGTATTCCGTGTCGGGGAATCGAACCCCGGGCTGCCGCGACCATTACATAATATTAAGTGGATGCAGGTGCTTGCGGCAGATGGATCCTTGCCGCTCTAAGCTAGTTCACGGAGTGCGCTGAAGCGCGCCAACGTAGAACAGCCCAGCCATGGAATGAGAGCACAAGTGGTGCAGAGGTGTCCGACTTCGATGAGCCCCAACTGCAGACAGTCGTTGCCGGACAAAGAGAAAGATATCCAAACAAGTCACGCTTTTATCCGTATAAATAAATGTTGCTTGTTTACGTGTTGTTTGTCTGCAGCACATGACCGTGATAAATCTGGAGAACGACGGCAGCTATGTCACTGTGTGAGGCCGAGTTCGGCGGCAAAGAGACTTGCATGACATCATCGATCGACGTTGTCCCCAATTAGGTGATAACCGTGACCTGCGCCTGCCAGTTTTGCTCTGCAGTTAATATAAAAAAGAATTCCGACACGGGGGGTCGAACCCCGGGCTACCGCGATCAGGTGCTGTAAGCACGCGCAAAATGTATTCCGTGTCGGGGAGTCGAACCCCGGGCTGCCGCGACCACTACGTAATGTTATTACGTGAGAGGCGGCAATGTTAAACCCCTACACCAACACGGACACGATACATGAGGGAGAAAGGCAAATATAACATGACGCCGTTTTGCTATATCATGTGATCCGGCCTATCCACGGCCCGAAGCTTGTGTCGAATCGAAAATCGATTCGACACAAGCTCCGGGCCGCCATGACGTGACTGGACTAAGCGGGGGGTTTGGATTGAACGCTGAGCCAGAGAAAGTGCCGAGAGATGCCGAGGCAAGTGGCCCATCATGGCCTGGGCCACATCAAACCCCCTTGGCCTCCCCCACTCTGACATCCCAAAAGGGGAATGCTTACAAATAGATAACATAACACTGACGGTCAGTGCACAAAATCCCCCACTATGACATCACGTGATCACTTTCCCAGCTTGTGTTAGCCATTCCGATGTCAGTGTTCACACTGATAAATTCTGAAACCAAGTTCATTGTCATGTCCTTGGTTTTATTTAACGGCACAGAGGGACTGTGTGTTTACAGAGTGATTTTAATTATTTCTTGTTTGAATTTAAGCTATAAAAAACCTCAAGAAGGTCGGTTTGGCAATGTACATGTTCAAAATAAAGTCCGTTTGCAGAAAAATTTGCACATCTGCCGCGTCAATTTTAAGGTGAATTTGCGTGTATATGCTGTCATTTTCTGCTCAATAGTATTATATACGCATTTAGAGCAACATTGATGCTGCCATAAAACCTTCAAATACATATTACTGCCAACTATTTTCTGTGAGAAAGGTGAAAATAGAGGTGAAAAGCAACAACCATACATATACAGCAAGTGGAAAGGGTAATAGCGGAAAGTTTGAAGAAAAAAGATCAGACATTAACTCTGAGGTTCGAACCCACGGCACCCGATGATTAGGTAACAAGACACGCTCACTACTTAACCACTACAGCACGGTAATCATGCCTCACGGTCACAAACATTGCGTTATGTGCGACTGGCCGTCTCGGCGAAGAAACGGCACATTGGTCAGCATTTGTCCATTTTAGGCAATGTCAGAGTGGGGGAGGCGTGTGGGAGCTGGCCACATCAAATACCAAAAATGAACCGCATCCAATCCGCCGACGATAATTTGGCCTTGTTTGGCTATTACAAGAGCATGTGATCTTGCGCGTCCTCAATCTCAAGGCGCAGGGATGCACTTGACGACGAGTTGACGCGTCTCAAGATTTGTATGAAATGAATTATTTGAGCATTGAATTATGTTGACTGTAGCTAGGCTCAGTTTTTTCCCTCTTCCACAACAATTGCTTCAATCCATGCTGGAACAATCCGCGCGCAACGACGTGGGATATAGCCGGGCCGGGTGGTGGTGGGCCTCGGCGTGCACGACGGCGTCTGAGGTAGATGGAGTGCTCCGCGGTCTGGAGTGCACGCAATGTACGCACCTTGAACTCAATTCAACGGCGTGCCCCACAAGCCGGGAGCAAAAATGTCGCACCCTAGCATCGATTCGATTGAGCACCAAAACGGAGGCATCGATGTTTGGCGGTGGGTTACCCATCGTCTGGACGGACTCGCACAGCCACACACACAAGTAAGTCGGCGATGTGTCGGCAAATCCATAGGCTTCATGAAGAACGGTGGTTTGAGGGAAACGAGAAAAGCGCCAGGGAATCCCTGGAGACTTTCGAATGTGGCGCAGAGGACAGTTGACGGAGGGGCTCGAACGAGGGAGGTGTCGGCAGGCGTCGGGTTTTGCATGCCAACTGGCAAGTATAATGAGAGGTATGGCGCATAAATATTGTTTTCCCCTGTGCCTTATGGGCCGTCATCGCGAACGCCGGGACCAGCGGTAGCTGTGTACGCTTCATTACGCATTTTCTGTGGGAGTCTGGGTGTGTGAAAGTCATGTCAACAGTCTCGGCAAGCACAGCAGCGTGTTTGGGAGGAAGATTTGGCAGCGCAGGTCCTGTCATATCTGGTACGTAGACCACGCACGACTGCGCACATCTTTCACCTAACTCGTTCAAGCTGTAGCGTATTTGTTTGACTATTCCGGTTGTACCATTCACAATGCCATTTTGCACGTCAAAATTTTGCGTGATCATGACGGGCATCCCTATTGCTAAGGGTAAACGACCAAGGCGGTAATTCATTTGTCCTGAATGCAGCCTGTTGAGAAGATGGCCCCGAAGAGCCAGATCTGTAACCACGGTTCCATCGCTTCGTGTATCCTGTGCGTAATACCAATTCAAATCATTTCCTGTTCTCGCTGCATAGGCACTGGCAGCCTTGATGTTTAGCGCATCCTTCAGCTCGTTGTTCGACACAATTATAGGAACATTGCAAAGCTGTGGATCCGACCAATCCGGGTGAACATGTGTTATCAATCTGGAATTCAAGGTCTCGAAGTCTTCGTCTGTACATCTTCCTTCACGGAGACGCCCAAGACAGGCAACAAAGTTGTCTGCATCCTGATTGTTCTCCAGTTCCCCGGTGACCTCGTTACGTTTCCGGCGGACTCGTTCAATCCTTTTCAGCACCACGACGGTCTTGACTGACAACCACAAGAGTTTACCCATAATATTATGTTGCCCCTTTCTCTCTGATGCACTTTTTCTGATTGTGTGCTAATCGTCGCATAGAGTTTTTTCTCTCCAACAGGGGGAAGCTGAGTGAAGTCACCTGCAAAAATCACATTGACACCTCTGAACGGTGAAATATTCCCCTTTGCCTCGGTGAGAGCCTGACTGATTTGAAGTAGGAATGCACATCCGACCATGGAAACCTCGTCAATCAAAGGATAATCCACTCCCTCCCACATAGCAATAAGATCACGTCGGGTTCTAGTTTGCGTGGAGTTGCTTGAACGCTGACTGATGCACAGTGCCGAATGTAGAGTCATACCATCGATATTCCGGGCAGCAACACCTGTATAGGCAGCTAAACGGAATCTGCGATCCTGTCCCCTCAACCGAAAGAAGTCCCACAAGGCATGTATTACTCACGACTTTCCAGTACCACCGGGCCCAGAAAGAAACATCCGAAGCTGTTCAGGCTGGTCCTCGAGACTGTGGTAAGCAATAATCCGGAAGGCATGTGCTTGTTCGGGATTCAACGTCCACTTTTCAATGTGGGCCTCAACATCTACTTGGTTGACTGGCTCTGAGGTTGGGATATCTTGTCTGATTTCGGGATTCTCATCTGGTGCCAAAAATGCGTTTCTGAAAGCAGAACCGTCGTCAACCAATGATGTCCTTGTCTCAGACGTCTGCCGAGGGTTTGATTCCGATCCGGAACTCGTGACTGATTTGCTCTTGACAGCAGCACTTCGTTTAAATTGATCTCGCTGGTCTTCGTATGTTTTCTCCCAGACGTCCTCGTGGTAAGTATCGGTAATTAAATGAACACCTTCAACTTCGTCGTTTCCGTCAGCCACCGGGGAAGATTTTTCATCACCGGTTTCTTGCAATCGTCCATCGTACATGCCGGAGTCCTTGGCGTAATTGATACATTCCAGGATAGCCTCGTTCGCGGCAGCTTTCTTCATTGAAAACCGAGTAGTGATCTCCTCCAGATGCTCCAGAATCATTTCCTCTGTAACATCCTCTCCAGAAAAATCATCTTGGGTGCATTGTCTTCGGCCCCGGGATCTCACAGCTCGTCTCGCTCGGTTCCTTCGTTCTGCGAAATGATCATCGCGACTATCCCAACATTCGTGCATAATTTGCATGTTGTCCATCTTGTGGATTACCGATTGAGAGCAGGTCTTCACAAACGATACAAAAGCCTCTTCCCAAGACTGATAGTGCTCTCGCAGATCAGAAGCTTGCCGCCATGGTTTGAAGAATATGAGCATCAAGCAGCAATACCTGCACGTAACCCTGGTTATCCCGGCGTAGAATACCCGGTCCAATCGGAACGGGTACAAGTAGGTCCCTTGGAGCCCTGACTCGAAGAACATGTGTCTTTTCCTGCTCATGACCTTTCTGCAGAAGAACTCGGGGCCGCTTGTGATGTTCAACATCCAAAACAGCCTTTCCCAGTCCATCATCCTCTCGTTCATACTCCTCTGCTGTTTCATCGAGAATGGGCCCCATTATATCCGGGTCATCTAGGTATTCATCAGGTTCATTCTATGTAGACGCAATGCTTGTATGTCTTCGGCTCATTACCTTGCGCAGGGCTCTGGTGACGCGAGACCGTCAGCAGGGACCTCGATTAGATACCCCGGCAGTGCAGCTGAATACACCTGCGGGTCGATACTAGATTTCCCAACAACGCAGCCGAATGCACTGTTGGAATGGGATATAGTATATGTGGAAGTGGGTGGAGAAACAGTGGGTCCAAGCAGATAATAAACGACGGGAAGAGAGACACAGAGGAATATGCAACGAGTATAGGATGGGGCACGGAATAAATTGGCAAATGAGGTATCAAGATATATGATGGAAATTTCGGGATGCAAAAGAAGAAGGAGGAGGACTACGAGAAGAGTAATGAGAAATGAACGCACAAGAGGAAATTCAAAGGGCACAGGGACGACAGGTGATTCGGGACAAATTTTGGTAAATTTGATACCAGTCCATTCCAAGGAAGTCTCATATGAATAGAGATAGATGTAGGAGTAATTCTCAGTCTAAGGTGGACCAGTACGACGAGATAAGCCGGATAGCCATAGTTGTCGTCACTGTGAGAGAGTTTTCACACCAAAGACCAACGGGAGACCAGCCAGGCTAGAAGAGGACAGAGAAAGCTAGAGGAAGCTTGAGGAAGACGTTAGAGGCCAGCCTGGATGAACAAAGGCCTCGAAACAGTGTCGTTCTCTTGGACGGTGAACGTTGAACGTCCAGAGAGAAAGAGATGAGAAGTACGTGCCAGAGACACGCTCTCTCGTAAATAGCTCCTCATATCAAACCCAGTAGTTTAGCCTCACATACCACCCACTAGTTTACCTAGGCACTGCTGCATAGCCACTACGGCCAGGTACAACAACCCAATAGAATTCCAGTTCCAGTTCCAGTTCCAGTTCCAGCTCGCAGTAAACTTGCTAGGATCTTATTGATGCTGGGG